TTGGGCCAGGCAGGGTAAGCTGCTGGCATTCAAATCCGTTCAGAGTGATCGATTCTCAAGCGCTCAAGATCTTTCAGATCGATTTTAAGTGACTCAAGTGCTGATTTTCACATCGGTGCTTCTTGAAGCGAGGCAGCTGCAGTCAGTGTGCAGTGAAAGACTTCTTGTTGCACATGCTGACCTGGCATAGCTATGATTTGATTGAACTTTTGCCATTTATCTTAGATTCGGAATTATATTTTTCTGATTGTGGGCATATCTACACTTCGAAAGATATTGGAGTGGATGAACTTATTTCACATATTGGTGTGATTAGAGTCCAAACATCGAGTTCTTGCAGGAAAGCTCCTGGAAGCAGCGTGGCGTGAGTGTAGTGGTGTAGTGAGTGCAGCAGTGCCGTGCAGTGACAGAGAGACTTTAGCCGTTAATCGAAGCCTGTCGTCATTGAGCCAGTGCGAAGGCCAGTCTAGCCGAGCCACTCGTTGAGTTTAGTTTAGCTGCTTAGCCTAGTTACGATTGGTTCAGCCGCGCCAACACGCTGTAACAAGCTGCAACCACAGCAAATGCAACCCTGCTAGACTCGACTCGTAGTCGTTGAATTGGCTTGACCCAGCAGCGCAGTAACCAGTATGACGCTGTATGCTATACAATCGAACCCATAGAATGCCATAGAAAGAACATTGCTCAGAGTGCTGTTGGCCTGCTGTGCTTGTGGAGCAACAAATCTTACCCTTAACCCTGAACCCTTCATCCTTAACACTTACTTGACCCTGAACCCTGAACCCTTAACCCTTAACCCTTAAACCGTCTAAAATCCCTAAACTCCCTAAACTTCCCTAAACCCTTAAAACTTAACCCTGAACCGTTAAAACCTTAACCCTTAACCTTAAACCCTTAACCCTTAACCCTCAACCCTGAACCCTTATCCCTTAAACCCTTAACCCTGAGCCCTCCCTGAACCCTTATCCCTTAAGCCTTAACCCTTAAACCCTTAAACCCTTAAACCCTTAACCCTTAACCCTTAGCCATGAAACCCTTAGACCCTTGAACCCTTAACCCTTAACACTTAACCCCTTACCGCCCTAACCCGTAACCCTTAACCCTTAACGCTTAACTCTTGACCCTTGACCCTTAAACGCCTTAACCGTTAACGTTAACCCTTGAACCCTTACTTAACCCTCCGCCCTTGACCCTTAACCGCCTTAACCCTCAACCCTTAACCCCTAAACCCTCAACCCTGAACTCTTAACCCTTAACCCGTTAACCCTCAACCCTTAATCCTTAGCCCTTAACCCTTAAATCCTTAAACCGTTAAGCCCTCAAGCCCTTAACCCTGAACTCTTAAACCCTTAAACCCTTAACCCTCAACGCTTAACCCTTAGCCCTGAACCATTCACCCTTAACCCTTAACCCGTAACCCTCAACCCTTAAACCCCTAAACCCGTAACCCTTACCCCTTAAACCCTTAAACCCTCCCCTCCTAACCCTTAACCCTTAAACCCTTAAGCTGTTAAGCCCTTAACCCTCCACCCTTAACCCTCAACCCTGAACCCTTAACCCTTAATCCTTCACCCTTAACCCTGAATCCTCAACCCTGAACCCTTAACCCTTATAACCCTTAAACCTTAAAACCCTTAAGCCCTTAAACTCTTGACCTTTAACTTTTAACCCTGGAACCCTTAAACCCTTAACATCTTTCCCCCAATCCTGGCTGACATGTTTGGTTGCTTTGTAATAGCGCAAGCATTTCCCATCAAAGATCTTTACCCATCCTGGCTGACAGGTTTGGTTGCTTCAGAACAGTTTCCCAGCAAAAAAATGCAAGCATTTCCCAGCAAAAGGTCTTTATCACAATTCTGGCTGACAGGTTTGGTTGCTTGAATTTGCAACTAGAACTGCCTTTGATGGCCCTCCCACATGAGCTCTGCTGTCATTGCTTTTTGTTTGCTTTTTTTTCACATTTTTTTCACATTTCGGAATACATTTGTTTTCACATTTGCATTCACATTTGTCGGCTCGTCTCATTTTTCTCACATTTCCATTCACATTCCCATTCACATTTATTTCACATTTATATCACAATTCATTTATTTGCTGTGTTCCTGGATCCTTGTAGATAACCGACCACATAATATTAGGGTACCCAGTTTTCGGAGACTCCAAATTGGACTGGATCGTCCGGTCCATGTTCGACGAGGATATGCTGTCAGGCATCACCTCACTGGGACGGGTACCCGCCCAGCGGAATTTGGACGGCAAGCCGGAATCAGGAATTCTTGAAAGCTCAGGGAAAACATCAAGTCAAAGTCAACATTCTATGAACAAAAGTATGAAGCTAAACAACAAGTCAGCGAACAAAACTAAAACTATGGAAAAGCTATGGGAACATCTGAAAGGTCGAAATCACATTAAATCGACACGCGTGTTTCATACTTATTTTGTATCTTTCCTAAAGGTCTCTAGCGCGTCCAGACTGCATGTCACCCCTCACCTGAATCACAAACACTTTGCTCCAAGTGTCCTCTCGTACTTAACACCTATTGCGCAATTTTGTGTGCTTTACGGTTTTCATGGTTTTTTTTTACAAGGGCTGTCTAATAATTCGATGAGGGATCTACTAGGCACTTGGACGTCTAGGGCTTAAGTGCTTGCGAGCTTGGCACGCAAGGCCGCTCAGCCGACAGCAAGGCTACATCCCCGACTATTACCAGCAATATTCCTGAGGATTCCTTATTATGAGGAAGGACTACAAGGGGCCCAAGACCACTTTTTTACTTATTCCTGCCCCTACTACCACGTTACGCCCACAAACACCAACACCATGACACTCAAGACATCAATCCCAAACCGCGTAAACACTAAAATAACTCCATATGAACTACAGAGCGTCTGCTCCAGCACCTGGAATTCGGAGGCCTCAAAAGGTGGGATGAAGGTAGGTGGGATATTCCCAAAGAAGAGCCCTTATATAAGGGATCCTTAATCCTACCTACCTTCATCCCTTTCTGATTGGCTGAGGGCCCCGCCAAACAAAAAAGTACTTGTCCTGGAAGCGATCGCCCAAGTAGCCCGCTGCGGACAAGTAGACGTTGACCTTGGCGCAGATCGGTGCACTACGGGGTTTTGTAGTCTTCCTGCCAGGTTTCTTTACATATAAAATTTACGGGATTCGATAAGACCCTAAACCCGAAACCCTGAACCCTAAACAGGGTTTGGGGTGTACTTTCCTATACCATAGCTACACAGCGACCTCTGCCAGGAAAATCTGACCTCCAGCAGTGATCCCATCAGGGATCTTTGCGTCTGCTTGAAGCCTTCTTACAGGCCGAGGTGACTTAGTAAGTGGGTTCTAAAATAGGGTTATAGGTACTCTGAATAGAGTTACCCCAGTTTTAACCCTACTTATATGTATGCTGTCACACCGCACCCCGAAGACACCAAACGCAGGAATCCTGGAACTATATAGATTCCAGCTTTATCCTGTACTCAGACCCTATACGCTTTAAGGTTCAATTAAGGAACCTGAGCCTGAAGCTTCAAACGATTAATTTGCCTGCCTTGAAGCTTACATCCCGAACCGTGAACGCCAAACACCCCAGTATCTGTTGACATGCTCTTGTTCGTGGAGGAACTAAGGGTTAAGCTAGCATCCTGTGCACATCCTACATTGCCTTCGGAGGAACGAAGCCTCAACTCGAAGCCCAAATCCTGAAGAGAACTTTTCAAGGAACCCATCAATAGGGGACCCTAATATAGTACCTTAAATAGTGGGATCCTGATTATAAGGACCCATCATTTTCGGAAACTCCCATAAAGGAGCCCAGCCCTTAGCGAACATCTTAGAGGCGCAGCCTGGACCCGAGGTCACTACACAGCAGCCTTGACCAAAGCCGAAGGCAGCAGCCAACCACCTCGCACAGAGGTCGGATAGGGTTTAGGGTTTTTTTTAACCTACAATGGCGGCCTTTCTAGGGTTTAGGGGTTTAGGGGTTTAGGAGGGTTTAGGGTCCAGAAGAAGGGTATACGGATAGGGTGCATAGGGCATAGGGTTGGGGTTCTAAAGGGTTGTCGCATAGAACTTTACAGAGACGCAGACCCCGGGACAGCCCCTTCTCTTCTCGTAAAAGTGTGGTGTTCCTTTATAGGAGCTCCTTAGGACGTTTACATGGTCTCTGTAAAGGTTTACATAGGCTTCCTAAAGTGTTTGCTCTTTCTCTTTACAAGGGTATCTGTAAAGGACCCCTATAGATCCCTTAAAGGAGCCCTAAATGCCTAAGGCTTGACTTTTTGGGGGTCTGTCCTAGTCTTTCTACGGTTTGAGAGTTTCAGGTCTAAGGTTTAGGGTTTAGTGCTTGGGTTCAGGCAATGTAAGGCGATGACAGGGGTTTACGTGCATTTACATGGACTAAGTGTTTCTTAGAGGAATTGCAGGTCTCCAAGAAAGGATCCAACTATTGTCGGTCTATGTGATCACGAAAGGTCAGACGCTGAAGACGGCCAGGTTCCACTTGCAGTGTTGACGGTTTATTTAGGTTTCGGATGCAGCATGTACTGCTTGGGGTTTGGGACACAGGACTTGGGCATTCAGGTTTCGGGATCGGGGCACATTTTCGGGTCGACATTTTCCAGTACCGGTCCAAGTACTCAACACGCAAGCTATGTGCAAATCGGTACTTTGATTTTGGTAAGTCGTACTTCAAGTATCGAGGGGCACCCTGACAGTCAGGGTATCGGAGGCTGCTTTTGTGCTTAAGCTTTAGGGTTTATAGTCTAGACTCTAGAAACTGGGGAATCAACCTGAACCTCAATGTGCAAAGTCCCTCCTCCCGGAAGCCTTGCAAGGAGCCACGGACTCCCACACAAACTTGCAGACTCGAGAATATTGACTAGAATGGTTTCATTCTGGGCACGTTCATGTTTTGAATAGGTTGCTAAAGATGTCATACATATGTTTACATATGCACATGCACCGACATGCTTTTTGACAATGCACGGCAGCGCTAGTAGCCATCGGCGATCCCTCGCCAGATTTGCATGCAGTGCTGGCTGCCTTGGAGGCAATGGCAGGTCTTCTCATCACCCCCTCTGTCCACCCACTCTTTTCGGATGATTTGTCCAAACTTCTTCCAATCCCTTGTCTGCGCAGCTTTTCTCAAGGAGTTCCACATGCCAGGCGGGTGGTTTTCGTTCCAAAGCCACTGCAAGATGTCCGCCTTTGGCGAGTTTGCATTTGACTTCATGAGCTTTTTGCGAAAGCCCGCCTGCCCGCGATCTGAGGCAACCCAGTGAACCCAAGCTTGTCGGGGCCGGTCCCCGGACTCCCACACATTGCTCTGCCTTTCCTCCTCCTCGTCCTCCTGCTCCTGCTCCTCTTGCTCCTCATTTTGATCCTGAATGCTGTGATCCTGCTCGCCGCCGTCATTGCGCGGGGCGATGGTGTGGTCATCACCATCGCCAGCTGTGTGTTGAGACCCTGCAAAAAACACGTGATGCTTGGCCTTGTCGAACCGGAAAAGCTCTGGCAGACATGCAATCTTCGTCTTGGTAAGCCCATCGAAGCCAACCTGGGTGGTTGTCAGAATTAGGGTCCCTCTTTGGGCACCATAAATATTAAGTGATTTATTATATTAGGTACCCAAAAAGGGACCCTGATTTTGTCAACCACCCACCTGAACCTCATGCCACTTCAAGCCATCTCGACGCTGCAGCCTCCTCAATACCGCACTTACCCAAGGAGTCTCCGCCAGATGGATCTCTGCAGAGAGCCGCAGATATCCATTATCCACCAGCTGGATGTCCACAAGCTGTCGGACATCTTCCTTCCTTACTTCGCTAAGACCCACGGAAGGAAAAGCAGAAACTTAAAACAAGAGCTAGACTGTCAGATCCCACCCAAAAATGCAAAAAAAGGCCACAACACAGTAGGGAACTAAGCCTGCTCAGCTTCTTCGGGGCCTTGGTGTTTTTTTGGAGCCTCTTCGTGAACTCATTCCAGCTCATGGGCCCATGCTTCCTCAACGCGCGGAGGCCCCACTGCTGCCAGTCTTTTTGCGCCATGTGGGAGTTTCCGAAAATTAAGGGTCCCTTATTTTGGGTCCTTATAATAGGGATCTTACCATTTAGGGTACTAGATTAGAGTCCCCCATTTTCGGAAAGTCCCATGTGGGACCGTTTAGGGTTTGGGGTTACTACCTCATGAAAACCCTGCACGCTGCATGTCTGGAGAACGCACACTGATGAACGCGGCTGGAAGCAAGGGTTCAAGGACACTACACCGCGGCTCCATCCTGCAAGCCAAGACTTCAGGCTAGGTCGCTCTCAAACTGTTGGAGTGCAGAGAAGGGTCAAGCAAGCCTTTGTAGGGCAGGTTTGCTTTGATGTTCGTCTCAAGCATACACCCGAGATCCACGACACTGACTATGGCGAAGGCGCCAAACACTCTAAACAAGCATCGCCCCAAACTCACCCTCCAAATCTCACAAAGTAGGTACTATTGGTAGACTTCCTGACGGAAACCACGGTATTTACTGAACATCCCCAGTAGGATAACTTGTATTCAGTTCCTTGCTGTCTCCCGCCTGCACCTCTGTAGCAAGTGCTCATCAAGCGAGTCGGGAATGCTGTCACGGTGCATGGGATCCTGCAGCAGCCAAGAGGGTCTAGGAGTTAAAGCTGAGGATTCGGTTTTCGGGTTTAGGATACAGTGCTTAGGTAGTGTGAGTGTGGTGCATGCTGCGTGGATAGAAAGGTTAAGACCTGGTTTCGTCTGGCAGTACATTTGGACGACTTCGGGAAGAAGACTCTGAGCCAAAATCGGATGCTTTGCCGAGCTGCCGCCGGATCTTGGCGGCCTACGTTTAGTGCGCATCTACTAAGAGGTCCAGGGGACTTAGTAAGTAGGTTAGGAGTTACCACAGTTTCTGACCCTACTTATAACCGACTTACTTAGCCCCCTTTGCCTCTAAAGGGAACTCCAGAAAGTTGGAATATGGATTAATGATAGGATCCCCTATAATTTGCCTTAAAGGGGTTACGAGAATGATATTCCATCTTTCTGGCTTCTACTGTAAGTACTTTGTGGAAAATGGAGACCGCAAGGTTCAAACGCATCGGGCCCCTGGTAGAAAGGTCCTGAGAGGCTCTGTCTCGGAATTCCACACTGGGTTCCTGAGTAGCCCCTTTATAATAAGGGTAGCCTTGTTCCTAATAGTCAGTTTTAGTAAAAGGGCCTTAAACCAAAAAAGGGCAAAGGGGTACTACTCAGGAACCTGGCAGAACAGGGTGAGCTGATCTTTACTTAAAGCCTCCTAGGCTGTAGTAACTCGGCTAGAGATAAGGTCAGTATCATTTTATGGTTACTTATAGCCCCAATGGAAATACATGTAACTGTAAATTACATATATTCTGAGGCCCATGATCCTGCGAGATTAGAACCCCACAGTTACAAAACCTAAGCAAGCCCAGAAGAGCAATCTTCCCGAAGCCAACACGCCATGCCACGGCCTCGTTCCATCACGCAGCGTGGCACCAAGTCGGTCCAGAATAACCTTGCCCAGAGGGTCCAAGTACCCAAATAGTAGGGTTGCAGGTCCCAAAATCCATGCTCTGAATGGTTTTTGGACCTTGAATCCCTACTATTTGGGTACTTGGACCCTTAGGGTTGCAGCTTTCCGAGGGGCCAATGTTTTGTAGGGTCCATCTAAGGCTTTGCAGGGGATGCTCTCACGGCCTCTAGGGGGTTTCTTCTTAAGGCCGAGTAGGGCTTACCATTCCGACTTTATAGGGTCCATGTGCATGTATGGTCCGATTTAGTTCGGTCCTAAACGGGTTCTCAGTTACAACTTACAGCTCTACGGCAGAAGTATTTATCAGCATAAGTTCTAGTGGCAGGGTTCGTTTCTGACCTCGAACTTACCGTAGGCACCCAGTTCGAGGCATGGGTAGGTGGTGCTCCAAGCTTCATCACTGTATTGTGTAAGACGGCAGCTAGTCTAGACACCCCTGATGGAAACACGACCTGTCTTTCAGGACCTTCTAACTGTTGTGGAACACATGCTTTCTTGCAAGGGGCTGTGCGGGGCTGGAGCTTTCGCCGCATCTGTCCGTCTGTCTGTCTGCTTGTCGTTTTTATCTGTCCGTTTCTCTCTGTCTGTCTGTCGATGTTTAGATTTCTACATACATGATCATGCAATAACCAACCAACCAACGAACCCACTGAATAGATAAGCAAATGAACAGCTCTATATACATATATGTATGTACACACACTAGATGTATACTGTACATATGTACATATACATATATATATATATACATATATGTATATATATATATATATATATGGCTGTATATATCTGCATATGTATGTCTTGTGTCTATTACATGTACATATGTATGACGTGATGGAGAAATATGGTCTTGACAAAGATTGGCAGACTTAACTGCGCTGTGCACTCCGCCCCAAAATCTGAGATCCAAACCCGTATAGATCTAGCCCGGCTTAGGATTTTGGAGTTAAAGGGAACTCCAGAAAGTTGGAATATGGATTAATGGTAGGACCCCCTATAATTTGCCTTAAAGGGGTTACGAGAATGATATTCCAACTTTCTGGCTTGTACTGTAGGCTTTTACGGGTTTTAGGGCTCATGGGCTTCGGATTTTTGAGTTTGGGGTTTTGGGCCCTAGGGTTTAGCTTTTTTGGGGGTTTAGGATGGTGAAGGGTTTTAGTGACGAGTAGGATTTTAGGGTTTAGGGCTTACAGTGTCGACGTCAACAGAGAATCAAACAGCATCCCATATCGATACCTGATTCGGGCCTTCCTGAGAGCTTCATCGTGTCAGGGTCTAGGGTTCAGGCTGTAGTGTTTACGGCTTCGGGTTGAGGATTTGGGATTTCGAGTTCAGAAATTACTTGGTTTGTGTTACTGGACTTGTTTGAAAGAAGGAAACCACATTGTTTACTATAGATCCTGGTAGTTTAACTTAGATGATCAAGAATCCAGATTACGAGTCCAACAAGCCGGGCAGCTTCTTCCTTGCCCTTCAACACCAGCGCATCGCGGCCGCAGTGTCGCTGATTTCGGACCAGGGGCTATGGGAGTTTGTCGCTGGAGAAAGCCGAGTGTGAGTCCCAAAAGAAGCTCAGGGTTTAGGGTTTCGATGGGTTCCGAACTGTTCTTATCATGGGTATCTTTGTTGCTACAACTTCCCAGAAAGGCGCCGCCTATAGATATAGGACGTCGATGTGTGGGAAAGTCTGATTTCCTTGGATTGGCTACCGATCATCGATCATGCTGTTGCAAGAAGATGTGAGAATCCAGGGTCCTAAACCAAAACCGTAAACCCTGCCCGAGGATTCAAGTCCAAAGCGTTTACTGACGTTCCGGGATCCCTCGCCCAATTTTTACCGATAGTGCTGCACAAAACTACGGATGCACGAGCATCTACACATGCGGTCCATAGACAATACCCGGCAGTCTCGGCAGCTGTGCTTGTGCTTCTAGGGTCAGCTGCCGGAACTTTTCAGCTAAGGTTCATGCGAGGTACAATGCTTAAGGTTTACAGCGTTTGTAAGCCGAAATGGCTGTGCATGACACCAGTCTATGCACTATGCCCAGGATTTGACTCCACAGCGCCAACGAAAAGGGCGAAAGCTCGCAAAGGCACCCTAAGGTGTAGCCCTGATCCATATGAACCCAAGATAAGCCAAAAGGGGAATAAATCTAAACCCAGTGAAGCCTACACGCTGAACGTCAAAGGTTTGAAGGTTTGGGGGAGCCTGGTCTACTATCCTTGAACAAGAGCTTGGGAATTGGAGCTTCAAAACCTTCGCCGATCATAGTCACCACTTCATGCCCTTTCTCCTGGTATTGTACTTCAATAAAGAGACCTCAGTCAGAAAAGAGAAGAAGGGTACTGCCGAGGGCCATCCGGGCTGGAAAGTCCTGCACCCTAATCCGCAAACAATAAGCTAAACCCCGAAACCCTAAGGCCTAGGTCCTAGACCCGGAAAACTTAACCATACAATCCCAAAGCCTAAACCCCTCAACCATATAATCCAAAGGCTTAAGCCCAAGACTCTAAAGCCTTCATCCCGGCAGCAGGGCACGGCAAGTCCGTGAGAGACTCCAGCCCTTGGCCGAACTTGAGCCCACCTCGTATTGGGCTTTTCAATCTGAGGATTGGGGAGCTTTCGGGTCAGAGGGTGTAGGGCATTCCCAAAGGGTGCTTCGGAGTGATGCACGGAGTCTAAAGGGCTTATAGAGGGCCGTACAAGGCTTTGGTGAGTTCAAAATCGCTCTATCAGGCATATTCTAGAGTGCGTGGAGTTTGGGCTTTGGGTCCTTGGATATTGCTAAAAGCTGGGCTGGGCATTTCAATGCCACCATTGCTGAGGTTCTTGAATCGTGGGTTCAGAATCTGGCATTTGGCATTTGGGCTTATCGTAAATCCTTCGTTCTTAAGATTTAGGCGTTGGGGTGTAGATTCATCCCAAATCGTAGAGTTTAGGATGTATGGCCAAGGCTCCAAGGTATCTAGGGATAAGGGCAGGCTCAGCGTACCAGGCTTCAGGGGTTGGGGCTGGCTGGGGGTTGCTGGCTCAGGGCTTCTTGTGAACTCCTGCACTCTTCAACTTTGGCGCTCCAGCTTTCTGGAGCCCATGTTAACACGAGCGGCTTAGGGGCTTAAGGTTTAGGGTTTCGGGATGAAGGCCTGAAGGCTCAGGGTTTAGGGATCTTACGTGCTTAGATGTGTTTGGGCTTCATAAGGGTTTAGGGAGTGGGGTCTTACGGGAAGCCGTGGCAAAAGGGGGGTGTCGAAATGTCTGGACACCAAGGATTCTGCAGCATCTACTTGTCCTGGTACATGAAGCTCCAATGCTGTGTTTCCTCTGCTGAGAAAGCCTGAGTGGATTGCACTTGTTGTCCGGACAGGCCTTGCAGGCAGTCCTAGACACAATGCATTCTAGCCAACGAACACAACGGCTGTGGCGCACGGCTT